ATATATATATATATATATATATATATATATCTATATTGTGCCGCATTTCTTGTCAAGTTGGTAGGCAGGGTCATTGTAAGTTCCCTCTGACAAGAGTTCGATCCCTACCGTGGTGTCTGGGGGGTCGATATATAGACACATGGCGCAGACTCTTATCATGGGGCCGGATTGCGCATGAAATATATAAAGTTTTATCTTTTAACATTTTAATGGAAGATTAAAATTATCTATATTTTAACATTATTAAAATTGTGGCATGAAAAACTTTGGAATTTTGAGATCATTTTAGATGCATCAAAGTTTTCATTGTGTTGGATGGCTAAATAATTGTGATTCTGATATATATAGAGGCTTTCAAATATTATTAATATGTATACAATTGAGGTTCCTTAGAATCAAATTTGTATTATTGATAGACATATTTTTTTCATATAAAAAAGCTAGGTCTATGAATAAGCTTCTATTTTTTTGACAAAATTATTTTTGAATATATGTAGAACTTGATTAAAAATCACAAATTATTTTAATTTTATATTAATTGTGAACATTTGTAGATATTTTTTTATTATTAATACATGAATTTAAAGGAAAACAAATAATTTGACAATTTATATAATGAATTTCTCATTAAAATTGAGCATTTTTAATAGCCCTATTTTGAGCCCATAAAGATAAGAATTTGTGCTATGAGTTTCATAATAGGTCATTGATACATCATGAAGTTGGAAGACCTTTTATGAGGATTTTAATTTGACCAAAATATTAAATGGTCGAGATTTCATCAATTTTAATATCTTCTCAGGACTAGTGATTTTATGTTTATATTATTCCATCATCCTGAGATATCATGACCTCCTATCTACTTAGATGAGATATTGATCTACTTTGACAAAATGATTCTTGTCAGAAATCATGGGTTATTTCATCCAAGAAAATCCATGGACTGAAACACACGTCAATTGCATAAGTATACATGTCTAATCACATAGTATTTAGATTTCTTAGTCTAAGCTATTAATCCACTGAGGAATTCTTTAATTCTTAAAATAGATTAAATATTTGTAGAAATTTTTAGTTTAATTGAAAGGATTTGGATCTTTAGAGCTAAAAGCCTTAATTTTAAATTGATGAAATAAAGGGAATGTTGAAAATTTTCCTTAAATTAGTTTACACAAAAGTTCAACGATCCCTCACTATTTTCATCCTAAAATAGTTGATAATTTGGAATAATTATTTTTTATTCTCTTTCAAGACACAACAAGCATTCGGGCCTCATATTGTTTTCTACATACAGTTCCAGGATTCTCTATTCCCTTAAGTGATTGCAAACACATCTTCGCAATGTTCTTATTTAACCAAGTATTTATGTTTTGATCTAGTTGTGCTTTTAAGCTTCTTTTGATTGTCCTAATTTATAACATATTTAACAATTTAAATGGTCAGTTCAAAACGTAAACGAAGAGTAAAAAGTTAAAACACCAACTTAATCAATATGATTCTTAAGAATCTAACATGAATTCACATTAAATCTCATAAAATCAATTTGAATAAGACAATACTTTAGTTCTACCTCATGAGTGAATAAAAAAAAAACATATAAATCCATTGAACATACAAGTTTATAAATCAAAGAGAAAAAGTAGTAAAATTAGAAATTGTTTTTTATTAGAGATATTACAGTCGGTTGAGAAAATTTTTTAGTACAAAAAGCGTTAGAAGACAAAATGGTGAAGCTCGCGACCATCAAATTTAAAAAGAGCTCTTCCTCATTATGGGAAAACTTATAGAAGCAAAGAAGGAGAGAAAGAAGTGATAAAAATACTAGATGGGAGAAAATGAGAAAGGAGATGCAGAGAAAATATTTACCTCATCACTTTTGTCAAAATATGTTTCTGATGCTCTATCACCTAAAACAAATGACTTATCAATGGAGGAGTTCATGAACAATTTGACCAACTATAAATGAAATGTGAGTTGTTCAAGTCAGAGGAATATACCGTAACGCGATATCTGGGGGGTTGAAGCCAGTTATCAAGAACATTGTGCTACCATAGCCCTATTAGTCAGTGGGAAATGTCTAGACCTTAGCCTTGAAGGTGGAGTATAACAGAAATACAACAGACAACCACCCTTATTTAGACAACAACATGGGTACATTTGGGGTTGGGAAGACTAGACATGGAAGTGACAAGAAAGATCTGAGTGGAAAGAAACCTGAAAAGAGTAATTCACCCAGTACAATGTCTGTCATGAGATGCCTTAGGTGCCATGACTACAAACACATAGTCTTAACTACCTCACCAGTTGTGTTATGTCATTCACCAAATAAGGTGTTGTAAAAGGAAGTGAGTGAAGAGGAAGAACTTCAACTCTAGGAAAATGAGAGATAAATTCTAGTCATAAGGAGGGTCCCACAGACTGAGTCGGAGAAGGATCATTTGTGGATAAGACATAAGATTCTCCACACTAAGTGTACCGTGAAAGGAAAGGCTTCCAATCTGATTATTGACTATGGGAGTCGAGAGCTATGAGAATGTGGTATCCACTATGATGGTGAAGAAATTAGAGTTGGCCACACAGAAGCATCCCTAATCATACTTTCTATCTAGTTGAAAGGAGGAAATGTAATGCACATGGATCAACTGTGCTTGGTTGAGTTTTCTATTGGTGATGAGCTACAAGAGAAAGTGTGGCTTGACATGGTATCGCAAGGCCCAATATGATGGGCTCAAAAACAATTTTTCATTCAAGAAGGATGGAGATAGATTTTTTGTCCATGAGGGACACGAGACGAGTAGGCATGACAAAGGAGTTGATAATCATGAGATCCACATTTATATAGTCGGTATGAGAGGCTTCGATTGCAATGGCTTTAGTCTTGTTAGAAGGAACTGAGGAGGAGGTTGAGATATTGGAACCCATACAACTGCTGCTATGTGACTTGCAAAATGTGATGATTGACAACCTTCTAAAGGGTTTGCCATTATTGAGGGACATTCAACATGCCATAAATCTCATCCCTGGATAAGTGTTGCCAAACAGGCTTACTTACATATTGAAACCTGTAGAGTACAAGGAATTACAACGACAAATACAAGTTCTCAATGTGAGATGTTTGGACAGAGAGAGTACCAACCCATGTGTTGTCCATACCTTGATGGTACATAAGAAGAGCAGATTATGGAAGACATGCATTGATAGTTAGGCCATTAATAAAATCACTATCAATAATAGTTTTCTCATACCTTTGTTTGGATGATCTCTTGGATTAGTTGCATGGAGCCATTGTTTTTTCCAAGATTGACTTGCACAATGGATATCACTAGATCTTGATGAGACCAAAGGATGAATGAAAGACTGCTTTCAAGACCCGAGATTGATTATACAAGTGAACAATGATGTCTTTCATATTGTCTAATGTGCCCAACACGTTCATGAGATCAATGAATCAAGTTTTCTAGACTAACATCAGGAAGTTCGTAGTGATGTAGTTCGATGATATTCTGGTATACAGAAGATTTGAGGAGGAGCATTTACAACACCTAAGGATGGTCTTCGAGGTTTTGCAATCAGAGAAACTATACACCCACCCAAAAAAATGCCACTTCATGACAACACAAGTATGTTTTTTGGGCTATATTGTATGTAGTGCAGGCATTCGGATGGATCCCTTAAAGATTGCCATTGCTAGGTAGGTGGTCCGAAAATACTTTACCAAGTTGAGACCATTTTTTAGGCCAAATAGGAAATTCATTAGGAGCTTTAACATCATCACAACTCCCCTGATAGAACATTTGGAAAGGAAGAAGTTCCAATGGGCTAATGTGGCCCCGTTCTGTTTTGATACATTGAAGACGAAGGTGACATAGGCACTAGTATTCACATTACCATATTTCAATCAATTGTTTGACGTGGAGTGTGATGCCTCAGATGTGGGAATCAGAACAATATTGAGCCAGCGAGGCCATCTCATAGTATTCTTCAATGAGAAGATGAATGAGTCCAAGAGAAAATATTCAACTTATGCGAAAGTGAGAGCTCTTAATCAATGAAGTCGCTACCTACAAACAAGTGAGTTCGCCTTATTTACAGATCATGAGGCCTTAAAGCTCTGGAACAACCAAAACAAACTGAAGAGTCAACATGTGTTTTGGGTGGAGTTCTTGGTATCATTCCAGTTCGTGCTTAAGCAAAAGGCAGAAAGACACAATCAAGTTGTAGATGCAATGTGCCACTGTCATTAGTTGATCACTTTGATGCAGAATCAAGTCATAGGCTTCGAGATAGTGAAAGTGTTGTATAGGACAGATGAAGATTTCAGAGAGATCTGAGAGCAATATCAAGAAAAGTCTACCAAGCAGTATCACATGGCAGATGATTATCTACTCCACCAGAATAAGTTGTGTATTCATAATCTTTCAGTGAGGGAGAGCTCATTATTCAAAAAAGTCACAGCGAAGGACTTGCAGAACACATTGGCGGAGATAAGGCTCGCACTCATGTGAGAATATTTTTTTCCCCAAATGACGAGAGATGTGGAGCGACACGCCTGCCAAAACTAGAGGGAGAATGCAAGGTTGTGCAACCTTTAACATTACCGAAGCCCCGTGAGTTAACATGGATTTTATAGTGGTTCTTCTGAGGACACAACAAAACAAGGATTCTATAATGATTGTGATAGATAGATTCTCAAATATGGTGCATGTCATACCTTATCACCAGGCACTGGATGACTTGTACTTCAAGGAGATTGTGAGACTGCATAGGATACCCAGAACCATTACTTTCGATAGAGATGCCAAGTTTTCGAACTGCTTCTGGAGGACCCAATGGGGAAAACTTGGCACTAAGCTTCAATTCAGCTCATCTACAAACAAATAGATAGACAGAGGTAGTGAATAGGACTTTGGGGAACCTCCTAAGGTGCTTTTTAGGGAAGAATATTAAGCAATGGGATCTAATCCTAGCTAAAGCCAAATTTGCTTACAATTGATCAATGAATCATACCATAGAGTGCACCCCATTTAAGATTGTGTATGGGCGCAACTCCTCACTCCACTTGACTTAGTACCTTTCCTTTCGACATCAAAGATTAATGGGGATTTTGAGAAGAGGCTGCAAGAGGTTCAGAAGTTACAAAAAGAGATGGGAAATGAGATCACCAAGCTGAACTGTAAGTACCTGACATAGAAAAATAAAATCAGGAAAAGGTGACTTTCTAAGAAGGGGGTCTAGAATGGATTAGGTTGAAGAAATGAAGGTTTTCGGTGGGATCCTTCCAGAGCAGATGGACCTTTCAGGATTATCAAGAAATTGAATGGTAGTGGATACAATATCGACCTACTAGGAGACTGTAACATTTATGATATTTTCAACATAATGAACTTATCTTCGTACTACGAAGAACCAGAAGTTTCAACGAATGAGATCAAATCTCCTCCAACCATGGGAAACTTATGCGAGGGATCACCTGGGCTAAATCACCTTTGGAAAAGCTGAACCAGTGCAACTAGAGTGGTTCAGTGGCTAAACCTGCCCTTTTCCTGGATTTGGGTTGTTACCCAAGGGGAGGGGTTCTTTACTACTATATAGATGTTGTTTTCTTTGATCAAGTCTCAATTTTCACTTCATTTTTTTTATTATCGGCTTCTGTTCTCTTGTTATGGCTGTATTCGATGACATGTGATGCTCTGATTGTATTCTGCTCCAAAGTGGTGATTACCTTCACATATTTCGTTCCATGTTTCCCCTCGCCTGTTTACTACCACATTCCCTATGCACCTTCTTTGTTGTTACTGCCCTCCCTACATTGCCCCCTTACTACCGCCGCACCTCCCTTCCCATTCCCTCCTACCACCGCTCT